GAACTACGCTCACTCCTGAAGAATGACTCACAAATGGTCTCCTAGGTGGATTGATACTGGTGAGGCCAAACCGATCTGACAGCCGCCTAGACGCATACCACCACCCCTCCAAGACGGAGTACATCGATTGATTGACGAGATGCTGCGCCATAACGTTATCGGGCGCCCCAGTCACCTTGGTCCTCCCCCATCGCATTAGTTGAAGAGTGACGACAGCCTACGTCTATGCTTCGATTATAGGGGACTCAATGCAGTAACAAAGAGGGATGCGTTCCCTCTGCCCACATTAACGACTCGTTGGACTCTCTGCAAGGAGCCAACTGGTTTTCAACATAGGAACTGAAATCCGGCTACTGGCAGATAAAGGTAACGGAGAAGTGTAGAAAGAACCAGTCTTCATTGTGCCAAACGGACTACACGAGTTACAAATGATGCCTTTTGGGCTTTGCGACGCAGCGGCCACCTCCCAGCGACTTGTGCATGCGGCATTGAATAGTCTATTCCCGAAACTGGATTATCTGGATGGCATTCTCCTTTTCGGGCGAGACATCAAACAACACATAACTCCAACCTTTGATGGGTACTAGATCGTCTTCGAGAAGCAGGTCTGACGCTGAATCCGAAGAAATGCAGTTTTCTCCAAAATTCAGTCACGTTTCTGCGACAATTTCTGCATGTGGCATGGAGGTCACGGAAGACAGAACAAGACAAGCGAGGACGTGGCCGACACCTACATATCAAACGGAACTTCGCAGCTTCCTTGGCTTGGCTAACTATTATCTCCAAGATCGCACGTCCTCTATACAAGTTGGCCGAGAAATAAGCAAAAAAGGAGTTTCGTTGGGAAAACGAACACAGAGAAGCGTTTAAGGAGTTGAAGCGCGCTCTCTGCGCCGCACCGATCTTGACTTTATCAAACTTCAATGCCGAGGCTCCTCCTTTCGTGCTGGATACAGACGCAAGCGACGCGGCGGTGGGAGGGGTCCTATCCCAGAAAGACAAGGACGGGAGAGAACATGTGATCGCGTATGCCAGCTCACATCTCAGCAAAAAAGAAGAAACAGAAGAGTGCAACGGAACGGGAGCTTTTCGCTATTTATTCAATGGTCAGACATTTTAAGCACTACTTGATAGGAAAGCATTTCGTTGTGAGGACAGATCATCCAGCACTGACATGGTTGAAGACGATGAAGGAGATCGAATGCTCGGTTGCAAGTTGGTACGAAGGACTCCAGCAATATGAGTTTATAGTGCAATATAGGAAGGGAAGCTCTTACGGCAATGTTGATGCTCTGTCACGGAGACCTTTATCCCGTTAACGGATAGTGACGCATTAGATGCGTTGTCATTGAGCGAGCCTACTTCCCATCATTGGAGAAACACGCAGAAAGCCGAACCCATACAGCTTTAGTTTATGAAAGACTAAGGACATCCTCAGCCAAGCCCACAGTTGAGGAGATGAGCTCGGCGAGCAGGAGAGCCAAGCATATGGCAGAACTGGGAAAAACTCTCTCTAGAAGACGACAATGTGGCAGGTCCTAAACGTCTCGTAGTACCCGGTTCCTTGGTGCAGCCATCACTGTTGGAATTGCATGAGCAACTTGGCCATGTGGGAGGAGAGGAAGGTGCTCGATGCCGCAAGGAAGAGGCATTGGTGGCCCTTGCTGACATCGGATGTCTCTGATTTTTGTCGCACATGCGTCACGTTTACCAGCTTGAAGAAGTAAACTCGCACGACGGTAGCCCCTCTGCAGCCGATGCTCACGGGCTTTCCGGGGGAGCGAGCAAGCATAGACATCATAGGTCCGCTTCCAACGACTATGAGAGGGAACCATTATAATTTGGTGATGGTAGAATATTTCATTAAGGCCGCAGAAACCGAACCATTACAGGCGCAAGATGCTGAGATAGTAGCAACCGCGTTCTTCAATCGTTGGATCTGCCAACATGGCGTGTCTGATTCCGTACATAGCGACCAAGAGGTGAACTTCGAAAGTTGTCTCTTCAAAGAGCTGTGCAAACGCTTTAGAATCCCCAAGACGCGTATGACGCCGGGTCATCCTCAGAGCAATGGGCAAGTAGAGAGGACAAATCGAACTCTTGTCGACTTATTGAAG